TTTTTTCACTTTGATGTTCCTTCCCCTCTTTGAAGCCTGAGGTCAACTAAAGGACTAATGGTAACTATCAAAACACATGCCATTCGATATAAATAAATTAATAAATGTCAGATGTCATGCCTGAAATTTTAATCAAATCTCGTTAAAGTGTGAAATCATACAGAAATTTTAATAAATTTAAATATTACAGTAGTTCATCTATATCTTTATAGGTTAATGGTTGCAATATTCTATTTTCTTCTGATTCCTTATTGTCTTATATGTTTGTGGGGTTTCCATTTATAACTGTTTAGACTATAAAATTCATACTTTCGGTCTTAAAAGATGCTAATTAATTATGCATGTATCGGGGTTTTCCAAAAGTCTACCCATCCGAATAAGCGCCCGTGAACGCTTTTTCTGATGGGTGGTTATTTGTTGCAAAAAGAGTTTAATGAAATGGAATTTTCCAGAAAGCAAGGCTTCTTTAACAAGATATCTGCCAATAACTTTTTCTGTAAATCATGGATAAAAATGGAATTACAAGAATTTATATGCAGTCAATTTCGATTCATAATTGGGCGTTCAGATGTGATCGGTAAGTTATAGAGCTTCGACTTCAAGACAAACAGGGTATTATGTTCGCGTGCCTGTTTATTTGTGCTTAGATGACGAATGCTGCAACTTAACATCGGCAGAATGCCATGGTCTACGTTTAACAAAAAATATTTTCCCTCAAAGTAAATACATTTATTAATTAACTGTGGTGGCTTTTCGATCACCTCCTTATTGATATTGTAACATGAGTGCCATGATACATTCAATCAATTCATTCCAAGTGGCCCCTTTCTCCACAATTTTTTTCAGCCTTATCTTATTCTGAGAATGTTAAGTAAATATTTCTAATATAGCATTAACAAATATTTTGTCCTATTTTCCCGTTATTATAATTGTTAATGACATAGTAATTTTGCTTGGCATAATCAGTTCGATTGGTAAATAAAAGCACAAATTGTTCAAAAGAAAATATTAAAAAGTCAAATCCTTTGATTGCTATTGCATTCGTAATTAAAATAGCAAACAAATGGAGCTGGTTATATTAAGCTTAAATTTAGATTTATTTTAAATTAATATTAAATAGCAAGCAACAAAAAGCGTCGACTTAAAAAAGTTATTTGTTGTAAGTGTCAAGGACAAGTCTGATTTCTAATTTGGTGTTTCCCTTCACTCTGTGCCCTCTCGGAACTAATGTAAATTAAACAATCCTTTATTTTAATATATTTTATATAGGGCTTACAATTCACCGTTTGGCGATAGTAGGTGAGTGTGTTTATTTTAATTCTGTTCTACTAAACCCCCTGTTTCCTGGCTTTGATTTATCTTTGTACTGGGCTAAGTTCTGTTTTCATATATATATATATATATATATAAGGGTAAATGGGCAAATTCGCTCTTCTTTATTTTTTCTTGCATTCGTTCTTCCTAAATAGTGCACCAGGCTATACTTATCCCGGTCAGGAGCGAATTCATGAACAACAAGCTGAAGTAAATGCAGTGGTTGGAATAATGAAAGAAAATGTCTCTCGAGTGCTCGAACGGGATCAAAGACTCGCTGACCTTGACCACAGAGCTGGTGGGTTCTTTTTCTGTTCTTTTGCTCATCTTCCTAAGGCCCACATATAGCTTTAAAATGCATTACGTTTTCAATTATTGTCCATTTCAGGTGCTGCTTATTTTTGTTAGCTTATTAACACTCAAAATCGGCGTTAAAAGACCTCTATAATTTTGAGTCGCTAACTGATCTTGGGCCTGAATTTAAAAAAATGAATTAACCTGTTTTCGGAGGAAGAATGCGATAATGTTTTAATAATATTACGCGACCACTTGCAGTTGAGCAGTTTAACTTACTGAAAATATGTATTAGTTGCAGTAATTGACAAAATTTTTAGACTTGAAGCAAGTTCGATTTAGCACAGTTAGGTACTTCCTGTTAAACATATGTTCGTTTTGGTATTGATTTTGCCTCACTTTGTATTCAGATGAGTTGCAGGTGCATTCGAGGGAATTTGAATCAATTTCTCGAAATATTCAAAGGAAGTACTTCTGGCGTAACATGAAGGTGGGTTTTCTTTCTTCTCGTTTCCATAAGTTCGATTTATTATTTATCAATTTTTGTGTCCTTTTACAGATGTGGTTCATTATCGCTGGCGTTGTTGTGGTCCTCATTATTGTTATAATCAGTAAGCTAATTCAATTAATATGAGCTGCTTTACTTTCCATCTGTATCACTTTTTCTCTTTTTAGTTTGGGCCACGTCTGGTAGGTCGTAGGTGACGACACAATCTCGTTTTCTTTCCATTTTGTCCTCTCGGATTTTGTTCCATAGTATCTGTTGCTGCGTATTAAGGCTTCCATATTGCATTCATTTTTTCCTTCTTCATTACGATCCTGTGCATTGATAATATTTACTCTCTTTATTTCTGTAAATTTACCTGCCTTATTACTGATTAAAAATTGGCTGCGTTCTTTCTTAGGGTTTTATTCTTATTGGCTTTCTAACCAACGTTCAAGTAATGCAGAAATGTCATATTTGAAATTCGTGGTATTTATATAACGTTTCCGAGATTGCGCATGATACAAGAGATGACGGGTTTGGAATCTACCTAGGAAATCGCTTGAAGGAAATTTCAAACTATACGTTATTAATATTCTGCTGAGCGTGGCCTTTAGTGCTTGCATTGCAGATCTAGTCAATTCGGCATATGAATTTGTCGTGTGTTACTTTGCGAATGAAAATGTTAATTATCCCTAGGTAGCTTTTTTACAAGGAATGTGAGCTGTATTTGTCATTACCTTATTTATACTATATCGGTAATTCGGGTATTCATTCTGCTACAACAGATTCCTTCCTATTCCTAATTGGCTTATTCGTTTGTGGGGTTTTCATTTATAACTGTTTAAACCATATGCTCCATTCTTTCCTTTATGCCTGTCCATAGGTGTCACAACCTTTTATAGATTCAAAAGGCTCCATTCAATAATTTCGTAGTTCTAAAAACTTCCCCGGTCGTGTTAGTTTCAAAGTTTAGGGGCAAACTGCAGAATCTCGTTTCCTTCTCCAGCATATTCCATGACGCAAAATTTGGGCGACGATTAGATAATTTTAAATCACCATTACATTGAGTCAACTATTATTGAAATAGTTCGAAACTTGTAGGAAGGTGTGGGTGGTAGATTGTAAACGATAAGGCCAGTTTTTTTAAAAAAAATTGGACCACTAAATAGGTTAACCAAAGACAGGCATCTACCCCATTCAAAATGGCTAGATTAAAAAGCGTGTAAAGTGTGCAAAAATCAATCGAAGGTGAATGAGAGAGAGAGAGAGGGGGGGGAAGGGAGGAACGCAGGACTAAGCCTGCATAACAGGCGTTGTAAAACGTGCGTGTGAATATGACATTAAGATTTGCTGAGTCAGATTATGAAAGCCGATAATCAATACCCTAAAAGTGCTCCTCGTGCACGGTAAAAATAGAATATACCGAATACGCCTGATATTATTCCAAAGCAAAAATACAATCACATGGAGGGTTTGAACTAAAACGTATTACGAGATTTGTTTGTTTATTAGTATATTAAGGGTACTTTTTAAATGTGACTTTAACTAATACCTTCTGACAATTACAAATCGATTGAATGAATTGTTGTCAGGTATTGAAATAGATATTGTGAAATGCACAACGCAATCATGGCTGAATAAAGAAATTTCACGTGCACTCAGACAGACTCGAAGGTGCGATCGTCTTAACTGTCACGTAGGGAGTGTGGTCGTGAGCTCAGAGACCTCTCAGCCAGTCATCAATCAATAGTCCCTGCTTTGCTTTGCAAATCCTCTAAGCGTCGTGTCAATGACACACAACCCAAATAACCGTGCTCTAAGAAGGATGTCTGTTTCCTCCATAGCTTTGCAGCAGCTTGGATAATTCCGGGAGCATTTCCAAACTAGGAGAACCTGCCATGGAGATTACTGATCATAAGTCAAGGTTTATTCGTCAGCAAACAATACAAAAGAAGAAGGAATCAATATGTCGTAACATAAATGTTATTAGGCGAATGCACCAGTTTCCTTGGAACACGTCAACAACAAAACTTAAACCGATATTTGACGATGCCATGAGTTTTTATTTTAATTTTAACATTCTAAATGAAACAAAAGATGCCTAAGCGGTCATGTGTCATCAAATGTAAATAACCAAATTTTATTTTGATACAATATGGATTCAGCGTTTCATAAACCAAAGAGCGAAAATTTCAAATGTAATAATAAAAACAAAAGTTAACGGCGTAAACATCACTGAGATTGGTCTCGGGATGAATTCATTTTCAAATGCAATTTTTGTTAAAATAATTTCAGAAAACAGCCTCTGAATCGTTTGTGAGGTGGGAAGAATTTATTCAGAAGCGAAAAACTATGCACTAATGACACGACGACAATCTCTGAACTTGAATTGTACTTAACAATTGTGGAATTTAAGCAATGCACTGAGATGATTCCAACAACTGTGTAACAGCGAACATCACCATCGATTGAACTTATCAATCAACAGGAATGAGAACCATCGAAATCTCCACAACCTCAGAAACAAATAACTGCTTTGATCTTGCTTGTTCTGTAAAAAGCTAGAGAGTAATTTTGCTCAAATAAATGAGTGCGTTGTTTATCTTGTTGTCTTTTTAAAATTCATTTCTTGGCCTGTAGACGAGGATTTGGGGTTTGGAGATTGGTGATGGGTTGGATAGGCGGTCATGGTTTGCATCATTTGAAGAAG